TTTCTTGTGTAAACGTTGGACATTTGGGATAAAGTTCGCACAGGGTTTCTATTAGACACTTAATAGTGCTAATCGTTTCACGAGGAGGGTTGAACTTCATACCGTCGTCAAAATAGGCCTTTGCGTTTGGTAAATCCACATATACTAGACCCCAGTGCGATGGCATGTAAACAGGTATTATTATTTGCTTGAGGTTTGATATTTGTACTTGGCAGCTTTGAATCGCAGTCTGAAATTGCTCTTCAAGGTATCCCTGTCGACATGTTCTCCATGCCCATATCTCTGATGGTAATACTAAAGACTGTACACCTGCGGAAGTATTTGATTCCAACATATACTTGTAGATACAAATATCCACGACCACATTTTCGATGTATCGCTCCTCACACAAATAAGACAGAGAAGTTGCGTCAATTGCTCTTATATTTATTCCGGTAGATTCCCTGCTAGCAGAGGCTGACACGGTAAATTCTGTCAGGTAAAAGTAAACCTCTGCCGAGCGAGGCCGCTTTCTTTGTAATGCCGCCGTCCATAGCCACGGACGAAACAAACCAGTTTGAAACCGGTTTTGAACCGGTAATCTGCTAGGTGTATGAACAAATTCGAGATACCGCTGCAATTTCCTGAGCCTTCGATAACACGAAATGGCGTCTATTGACAAGTTCAGTCTTGCTTCTTCAAAGCTGTATAAACCAACAAAATTGCAGCGGAAAGCTGTCAAATCATTCCTTTCCAAAAGCGATACGTTTGTGTGTCTCCCAACAGGGTATGGGAAGTCATACATATACCAGCTCAGTCTTCTAACGGCAAAACAAATGTCAACAAACAAAAGTGAATGCGAATCAAGTCCGGTCATCGTTGTTGTGTGCCCCTTAAACTCTTTGATTGCCGATCAAATACGTTCCTGCGAAGCCCTCGGCCTGTCTGCTGTGAAATTGGAGAGCAGTCTAGAAGATACTGACAAAACTGACATCGTCTTTGTTAGTCCTGAAAAGCTTGATGAACTCGAAACAAAGAAATGGCTGTCAAATCTGGGGAACAGATTGGTTGGTGTCTTCGTAGACGAATCACATTGTGTAGTCAACTGGTAAGTAAAAAGAAACTATGTGGTTAATACTACAAACTTGTAAACTCCTTCTACAACTGAGATGATTTTCTCCTTGCTTAGTAAGCGTATTTTGTACAGTTTGTATATATATCAAGATTATTGTCCTTTCCATACTAAAGATATTTGTCAATATTAAATCCTCTCTTACATGTATATGATTATTGAACATTTAATAACTCCGACTGATTCTTTGTTTTTCTCTCACAATTGTTATAGGGGAAGTAGCGAGGAAGGCAAGCCATTCAGGGAAGCTTATGGCAGGATTGGGAACCTGCGAGGCTTTACAAAGGCCCCAATTCTATGCCTCACCGCAACAGCAGGGGCAAAGATGCGAAGAAAGATAATTAAAAGTTTGATGATGAAGAAAGTCAACATAATACATATCAGCCCTGAAAAAGAAAACATAAATATAGCAATAAAATCTGTTAAGAAACAAGACCTAGAAGAGACATTGTCTTGGCTTGTTGAAGAATTGAAGCAGCTAAAGAACACTACTCTAAAAACAATTGTTTACTGTGGGTCCCTGAAGGTTTGTGGTGAATTATACTCTATTTTTGATGAACATATAGAGTCTGATACTGCTGATCAAATATTTGAGAAGTATCATAGTAAAACTCCATGCGAAATTCAAGAGAAAGTGTTGGAGTCCTTCACTACTGCTGATGGGAAGACAAGAATAGTTTTTGCCAGAAGTGCTTTAGGAATGGGTGTGGACATTCCAAACATTGAAAGAGTGATACATTTTGGAATCGCAAAGGAAATGGGAGATTACGTCCAAGAAATTGGACGATGTGGAAGAGACGGGGGAAGTGTGTGGCCGTATATTACAAGTCATACCATCTGGCTCATTGCGAAACAGCAATGAGAGAATATATAAAAAACACTACAAATTGTAGAAAAAAAAATGATTGCTAACTATTTTAAGGAGGAAAATAAGCCAAAGAAAATATTACACGAATGCTGTGATACATGTCAGAAAAGATGTACATGTGAGCTGGAAAACTGCAAAGACGATGTAGACGATTGGCTGTCCCTAGTGAATGACAACTCTTCAGGAGTACATAGAACTGTTGACAACAATGACAAGCTGCTGTTGAAACAGGTTTTAACCGATATGAAGGAGGATGCTGTTAATGAAATCACTGATGATCTAATTGATGCCATCGTAAAACATTGTCACACTATTTTCTCCATTCAGTATTTGATGGATAACTTCCAAATCTATTCAACACAGACTGCCAAAGATGTTCTTGCTCTTTTCAATGACATTTTTAGTGATATTTCAGGGGGAATTGTTAAGCTCAGCAGACATTCATGCATATTTTGATGACGATCCATTGTTAATGGAAGTTGAAATGCAAAGTGAGTGATTTTTATCTATAAATACACAGTAAGTCATGCCATGACATGAAGCCCTGTATATACAAGCAATTTGTATAATGCAACTGCAATGTAGCAACTGTATTTTTCATTATCTTAAAAAATGTCACTTTTGGTTGTCTACACATTAGCATAATAAAAACTGCTACAAGAAAATTGCTCGTGAAGAAGGGGCTTAAATGACAGGCAATCATCATCATCACAATTATTTATACAATTAATGTAATTTATTGATATTTTTACAATATTTGACAACGAAATAATAACTATAGGTACATAATGTTACAGTGTAGTATAAGAATTTTCCTATTTATACAGTGGTACCTCATATACTCTCTATTTACACACGTACATTGACTTCCATTGTTTTGCACCTCAATTTTTAAACACAAACTATTGTAAAATATTTTTTGACTGTATCATGAGAAACATTTGATATGCTCCAATCATTAAATGAACACTATTCTAAAAAATATGCTATATTTGAAATTCTTCAGTTTAGTCTAAAATTGTTGTTGATAAACAGTCATTTTGGATTTTAGTCAAATTTGTAAATGTGCCTGTTTTGTCTATGCCAACGTCCCCTGTGTTTCTTGATCCAATTTAATACTGTAACCTTATTTGTGCAAATGTTCTTGAATAAGGTCCTCCTAATGTTTGGGTATGCCGAAAATAATCTTCCAGGCTGGAAGTGAAACAGCTGTGCTTTGTTTATTTGCTGCAATACAATGTGGAATGTCTCTTGCTTTGTCTTATTTGTGTGGTGAGTTTGCCGCTTTGACAACTCAACATCCTCATTTGCTTGGGCAATTATATTTTCGAGGGGGCCTGTTGACAGTGTTGCTTCTCTAATACTGTTGGTAGTGATGTTTGGAGGCCAGTGCCCTTATGGACTCTTTTGAAACTTTATTTATTTGCTCAAGTCTTAGGTCTCTTGATATACAGTTCTCGGGGCCTCCTTTAATATTGGAAAACCTATTCCAAGTAAAGGCAAGTCTTGAAGCAGTAAGTCTGAGTCCAGCTAAAGCATACTTGGTGCTGCCTCCACATCTGTATAGAAATGTAAGGAACTTCCACACTCTAAGAAGTCATCAGCATTTCGAAGAAGTAAGCCTATGCTTAAATGAAGACAAGCATAGTTGTATTTTAAATCTTGTTTGTCTTTTTTATCCTCTTCTTCATCTATTTCTATCTCTTCTCCAGATTCTTTAGCATCATCACTATCATCATTACTATCACCACTAACATCATCACCACTTCCGCCACTAACATCATCATCACTATCATCATTGCTATCACCACTAACATCATTACCACTTCCGCCACTAGCATCATCATCACTTTCACTGCCCTCTTCCTTTCTTTCAACACCTTGTACATGTTCATCTTCTGTTTCCTCATCAGATACATTAGTCTGTGAATATTCACTAACATCATCTGTAACCGGCATGTCCTCTTCCTCAATGATCAAGTTGTGGCATCTAATCTCATGATTGATTCTACATTTCTTGTAAACAAATTCACGGGTACATCCATCTTGACGACATGGGACTTTTTGTCGAACAGTCTGAGCTGACAATTCTTTACCCAGGTTACTTAGGTCACCAAAGATGTCCATCACAAACAGGTCAAGCATTTTGGCAATGTGCTTGTGAATCCACTCTCTTTTGCATCTTTGAATGGCATGCTTAAAAACTTAGTGCAAATAAAAACAATTTTGAAGTTAATAATTTGTATAACTTTTTGTTTGTTTGTTTGGATATAATGGTTAAGATGAATATTGTAGTACAATCTGTCTTTTGGTGCAATTTAATTTGGAACCAGTTCAAGTTCTTTTGAACCAGTACAAATTCTTTTGCTCCAGTTCAATTTGTCTTGGACTGGTGTAATCTGGCATTCTAAAAGGGATTTCTTTTTGGGGACTCATTAATAAAACAGGGGCTTGGATTTTTTTGGGGGGAGGGGTTACTAAAAGAACTAAACAAGAATTTCTCTTAATCCCATTCCTTTTTTTTCATCCTTCCTTCTTTCTTTCTTACACTTACCACCTTAACCATACTCACTTTATAACCACCTATGCATTTCCTATATATTACAATTTTATTTTTGTTATAAGGCTTACCTTCACCTGGGTTTGAACCCCTAACCTCCTGCTTCATAGCCCAGTGTCCTATCCATTGTACCATCGATGATTTCGTTGGAAAGCTACCGTTTGCATTGCTTAATATTATTGTAATGCATTCATAGAATAATTTATTCTACACCTGACGTCATAAGGTTCACGCATGCGCATTTTTCACGTGTTCACAGTCGCCGCGAGTTCGTAATCAAANGGTATTCAACCAACATGGACACCAATCAAACCTGTCACTACTCAGTTTGCTATAGGCAGAACAAGATCTGTACAAGTTGTAAGAAAACAGTTTCCATTAAGACCTGATGCTGCTAAAACTATACATAGATCACAGGGTGATACTGAAACCACGGTTGTAGTTAATTTTGAAACAAGAAGAGCAATCTCTCACATAMAATATGTAGGGTTGAGTAGAGTAACAACTATATATGGTCTTTATGTCACAGATCTCTGTGAAGACAAAATATCTGTCAGTGAAGATTTCAAAGAAGAAATGCATCGTTYAAGAACTGAGGGACAGCTATCTCTTTTTTTTTCCAATATATTGTGYGCCTCAAAATACTGTTAAAATCTGTTATSTTAATGCAAGATCCCTACACAAGCACATCAAAGATGTATGTGCAGATATGAATTATTCAAGTACTGATGTTAATATTTTTACAGAAACAAGATTTATTGACSTTGACAATGATGATTTATATTTGATGAGCGATGACAAATATAGTTTGTTTAGAAATGATGTTCTAAGAATTTCAAATAATTTACGGCCCTTTGGAGGCACAGCAGTTTATAGCCGCCTTGATTATTATCCAGGATACCTGCATATTGTGATAACAGAAATGGTGTTGAAATAACAATTTTAAGATTCATGGTCATTCCTCATATAACAATTGTGGGAATCTATAGATCACATGCAGGATCAATATACAAGATATGTGTGAAACACTTAGTGATATTCTTGAATCATTACCAACTAAAATGAATGTATTTATTGGAGATTTTAATGCCAACTGGTTTGATGATTCGAAGTGTAAACTACTCTATAATTTGTTTATCAGGGACAATGGTTATAGACAGTTAGTTTCATGTAGTACAACAGACAGAAATACATGCATTGACCATATATATACCAACCTATCAGAAGCACAAGCTAGTTTTCAAGTTTTAGAGACATATTTTTCCACAAAGCTATTTGCACATTACTTAACTGTTTTGATTAGACAACATGTTCAATTAAAAAGTACAAACAATGGCAATGAGATCATTCTAGCACAGTTTGCAACAGCTAAGTCAATATTACATTCTAAATAGAATAATTGCAAACATAAAACAGTGTATTAAGGTGGTAGGAATGGCTCCCGGTCGAAAAAAAACTTCGTTATTTTTTTACATCAATCGATAGATTATAGGTTAAAGATGACCAATATTCATAAAAATAGTCCATTTTTTTCGAGGAACTACTGTAAAAAGGCACGGATTTCTTGTAACTACGATGGGAAATTTCAATCGTCGCCTTGAAATCTGAGAAAAATCTCACATAGATTACGAAGGATTTTGAAAGGAAAATCAATAGAAAATTGATATAAATTCGTACTACATGACGTAATACGATTTAAGAAACAATATGGCGACGGGATATTGGGTTTGAATGAAAACTCAAAGAGTTATTAAGCGTTTTCTGCCAAAAATGGTACTTTTAATGACATTTTATTCATTATATTG